CCCTTGTGGCCAAGAAGGCAAATGGTATCCTTGGGAGCATGAAGAAAAGTGTGGCCAGCAGGTGAAGGGAGGTTATCCTCCCCCTCTACTCTGCCCTGGTGATGCCACATCTAGAATACTGTATCCAGTTCTGGGTCCTCCCAGTTCAAGAAAGACAGGGAACTACTGGAGAGAGTCCAGCAGAGGGCTGTGAAGATGATGAGGGGACTGGAGCATCTCTCTTACGAGGAAAGGCTGAGAGATCTGGGACTCTTTAGTTTGGAGAGGACTGAGAGGGGACCTTATCGATGCTTATCTAAAGGGCGGGTGTCAACAGGAGGGGGCCAGACTCTTTTCAGTGCTACCCAGCACCAGGACAAGGGGCAATGGACACAAATTGGAGCACAGCAAGTTCCACCTGAGCATGAGGAAAAACTTCCTTACTCTGAGGGTGTCAGAGCACTGGAACGGGCTGCCCAGGGGGGCTGTGGAGTCTCCTTCTCTGGAGATATTCAAAGCCCACCTGGGTTTTGCAATCCTGTGCAACTTGCTCTAGATGAACCTGCTTCAGCAAGTGGGTTGGACTAGATGGTCACCGGAGGTCCCTTCTGACTCCTATCATTCTGCAGTTCTGTGTGATCCTATGGTATCGTTTGCACTTTCTGCACATGCCCTGCTTATTGAGTTATCAAGATCACAATATAATGGATCTTCTTACTCATTTGCAATGCCTGTCACCTGCCATCTGCGAACTTTCTGTTACAATTTTCTTTGCTTCCAAATTATTCACGGCTGTTAATCAGTACAGCTCAAAGAATAGGTGCCTGCTGGTCATAGCCCAAAGTGCACTGGCTCTATGGCTACTATGCTTCACAATTTTATTTTTAAAACTATTACTTAGCACGTGTTGAAAACAGGCTACGATGATTTGACATTCCTCCACTTTCTGAATCAAAATGTCCTACACTACTAGCTGAAACACTTTACAGACCACTTAACGCACCAACTCTGTCACGTTTATCAGTGACATCTGTAGTCCCACCAAGAGAAGATAAAAATAGGTATCCTAACTAATTTTAAAAAAAACAATACTGATTGCCATATGGTGGACGCTGGTTGCTGCTGCTATCATCAGATCGGTCAGGCACACTAGTGAGGTCCAGGAATTTACAGGCAGAAAAATATGGTTCACTGTTACACTGAAAAGGCCAGGACTAGGAACTGCACATTTTCAGCAGCTAGTTCCAACCAGCTTCTTTCTATTTCTTTCCCCAGGAGCTTGCTTTTTCCTGCTTCTAAAGCACTCAATGTAAATTAGAAAGACTTGGGTTTCTGGAAATGTTTCTGCTGAAACACACACGCTTAGTCCTGTAACTCTGTTTTCCAAACTCGCCACAACTCAGTCCAAAAAGGGCCCCAGACTTATCGATGACATTACTACACCATGATGCTGTGCAGTGCCCTGGACCAAAAAGCCAAGCCAGCACAGCATGGTGGCACCACTGTAATTTACCGAATATCGTACAGCGCATTATCACACTTTCAGTAAATGCCTTTCAGACAGACTTAGATTGGTGTGCTTTCTTTACAAGGTAAATCCTCGGGGCTCCATTGGTCCGAACAAACCACTATGCTCACTACTAAATATGTCTCCTATCTCAAGTACAAAAGTGTGATAAGACATATTTCTTCACATTCTTTCACTGTGACACAAGTAAAAAAAAATCTAGCTATCTAATCAGGTGCAGGAGAAGTGTAACAAGATCAGCTGTCAACAGCACTGCATGAAGCACAGCGGAAAGAGCACAAATCACAAAAAGGCACAACTTGCTAACAGTAAGCGAGTTCCGGCACATTCACCGTAAGTTTACATGACACACAAAGCTACTTCAAAGCAACTGATGTAAATTCACACGCTGCCAGAACGGCCACTATGACTGCTGGAACAGCCTGTCCAGTTCAAGGGGCACCTCAACGCACTGAGGATTTACTGAAAGACATGGGAACTAATACCACAGCTTGTAATGAAGGCTGAGGGGGCAACTAGTATACAAACATTAACTTTTAAACTTCCCTGTGTCCATAGCTTATATTTGCCAAAGGTCGCAAAGCAGCTTTAAGACAAGTCACGGGCATGACGATCGTTCAAAAGAAATCAAGTATTACTCACCAATTCATTGTCTATTCTATGAAACAGCTATCATAAGATGAACCAGTCAAGCAGGTCCATCAAATGTCCTTGTGTTTTCTGTCCCAACCATCTGCATACTAGCACTGTGTAACAATGGAATTATCAGCAGAAAGCGCACCAGGTGTTGGTGTCTTATTTCAAAAGAAGTTTATAGCAAATTACTGTCACTGTAAAAACACAACTGTGACACCGCTTTTATTTCACTTTGACTTGCATTCTGTCTTGGATGATGGACAGAATTAAATACTTTAGAAGAGGCTTCCTGCTAATTTTTTAATACAGATCAACAAAAATAATGGTTTAGCTGGCTTTCCAATTCCTACAAAAATTTGCTCCACTGTAACTCCTGACAGTTTGTTCCCATATATATGTATATGTGATCTCTTTTTGAATCTTAACAGATTCTCCATTTTAAATGGTATTTTGTGGTAAGAAAAATTAACAGCTCAGTCAATCGTTCTGCACAGAACAGAAGGAAAACAGCCTTTCGTATTTACCATTGTCCTGCCATCTACTGTATCGTGCTTGTTTCTGCAGATTATTAAAATGGTCAAATAGCTGCTCCAAAGAGAGGATTACCATCCAGAACACAGAACGCTTAGGACATTCACATATGATATTCTGAAAGTAACATCATCACTGGGATCCAGCTTCTGATGCTCCCCATCAAGTGTGCTCGCACGACTAGATGTAGCTGCTGTGAGCTGCTATGTTTCTTCATCTTGGCATGCTGCATGCAGCATTTTCTTTCCATTCTACTCCTGCCTGATGCATCTTTTGGACTTCCACGCCTGCCAGACTCTACTGTCTCCTGATGATTTTTTTTTTTGTTATGATCTCCTTTAAATTAGTTTGCTCGCATTCTGAATTATGCTGACCATTGTGAGTGGTTAATAATAAATATTGGTGACAATCAAAGGGCCTTTCCACTAAAGCACCCGCGCAATCCCTCCGAAATGCTGGGAGGCCACTGGCTGAAATCATGGGGTAAGGAACTGCAAGTTAAAGCTCCACAAGTTTCCCCAAGGAGAAGAGGAGGTCGAGGTTGATCTTTGTCCTAATTTAATGTCACCACAAATCACTTTCTTATTCACAGCCATCACCTGCTAGGAGCATGCCTTAGTATCCCTCCCTGCAGCTATCCTGTATCCCGACACATCCATCCTTCCTGGCCAAATTGGCTTCCTGCCAGCCTCACAATCCACTGGAATGTCCCTGGGATGTCTCTGATGAAACTGTCTTTTCCCCTATGCCTGCTTGGCTCTTTCATGGCTCCTACTATGAGCAGCCACAGCAAATTTTTTCAAAGCCCTTCATACTGCCCCAGCCATGTCCTCTCGCCCACATGCCAAGGGACAGGGCAGCTGCCCCTGGTGCAGGGCAGAGCCCACCAGCAGGCAGCATCAGGGGCTGCACAGGTGAAGCCTCATGCTGCCCGCACTATGGGCACGTGGTTGCACTTGGCCCGCACCCTGCCCGTGTTGCCCACCTCAACCCAGGCACCCCATCCTGCCCACTGTTGTGCCAGGCTTCACCTTGATCAGCTTGCAGCGGATCTGGGCAGACACCATGTGGCTGTTGCGGAGGTTGCCGACACGGAACATGAGGCAGAGCTTGCCATCCCGCTGTGAGACGACTGCAGCATGGCTGAACATGAGGGTCTCGGCTCGCTTCTTGGGCTGGGACATCTT